AATTTAAATAAATTTGATGTTGCATAAAGTGAAGCCATTTCACAGTTTTATTTATTTATTTAACTTTATTTATCTGAATTTCATTCATTCATTCATTCATTGCATTTTATGTGTATTTTCGTCTTCATTAAATTTATATCCATCCATCCATCAGTCCATTAATGGTAAGGTGAATCTCATGAAAATGGATTCACCCTAAAAATAAAGAAAAGTGAAGATATTTTATTTTATTGATGGCATTTTTATGTTTATTTTCTGTTTCATTGTATTAATACGTCCTGTTTTATTCATATTTTATTATTTTTATTTTATTAATTCCCTCAATTCTAATTACAGTAATATACTCACATTAACATAATACATCTGGATTTTTTACTTTTTTGTCTTATTGAAAATGTACCATTTTTTGTAAATATTATATACACAGATCATTTTTCATTAATTAAAAACGGTGTGTATATATAAAAACTTAAAAGTGATGAGAATTTGAGGGACATTATTGTCATAAAATAATATCACAGTGCAAAAGAATAAGCTTAATTTTATCTACCGTATTTTTTACGGTAAAATTCCGGCAACCACAGCTGCCGGTTTTTTACCGTAAGTTTTACGGAATTTTTTTTACAGTGTAGCCGGATATCTGTCACACACGACACGCCTGTGCAGAATGTCTCACAGAAATTCAGTTAGAATAAACAAATGGAATAAAATAAATACAAATCAGAATATTTTAAGTCCAAACTGTGGGCAAAAACTAGAAGGTGTAAATCTGAATTTTTGTTTTTGTTATTGCTGTCTTACAGAGAATTAAGTGTTGAAATGAAGAGTGCATGTGGTGTTCAACTTATTTGTAACTTGTAATGCATTGAGAGATCCTGTTTGAACTCTAATGTAATGATAATCAAACTGTTTTGAGCATCACTTGAGCATTTTTCTTGACATTTCCATGTGCAATGCATTCCAGTAAGGATGGATTATGGTCTTATGTGGCCCCGGGGTCCCAGCTGTTATGAAGGCCCCTCTTGTTGCTCCCGCACTGTTTTTGCCAGGGAGCTGAAGGGAAGTTTGTACAGTAATTCTATCTTCTTGTCCCAGCTTATATAGACAACTGTAAGTAAACAGGCTTGATAGTTGTAGCTTGATTACCCTGAAAAGTTTAAGACTATAGAAAACATTGATCTTTTTTTTTTTTTTTTGAACATCTAGAAATTAGGCACCACCTTTAATAAGATAATATCTTGTAACTGTGACTCCACATTCTGATGTATTTTATTTTTTATACTACCAGTCAAAAGTGTGGAATAATTAAGTTTTTTATGTCTTTGAAAGAAGTCTCTTTTGCTCACCAAAGCTGCATTTATTTAATCAAAACTACAGTAAAGACAGTAATATTGTGAAATATTATTACAGTTTAAAATAACTGTTTTCTATTTGAATATTGTAATTTATTTCTGTGATGCAAATATGAATTTTCAGCATCATTACTCCAGTCTTTAGTCTCACATGATCCTTCAGAAATCAGTCTAATATGTTGATTTGCTGCTCAAGAACATTTCCTATGATTATCAAGGTTGAAAACAGTTGTGCTGCTTCATATTTTTGTGGAAAACATGATATACTATCATTCAAAAGTTTGCAATAAGATTTCTAACAAAATATTTCTATTTCAAATAAATGCTGTTACTTGATCTAAATGCTGAACTTTCTATTTATCAAAGAATCCTGAAAAAAGTGCCAGTTTCCACTAAAATATTAAGCAACAAAAACTGTTTCCAACATTGATAATAATAAATACCATTATTAGTAACTGAACACCAATAAATGATAACAACTGCACCATATCAGAATGATCATGTGACACTGAAAAACATCTCAGGTTACGTATGTAACCATGGTTCCTCGAGGGAACGAGACGCTGTGTCGTAGGACGCTTCGGGAACGCCCTTCAGCATGACCGGCTCTGAATCTCGTGTGTAATCAGACCAATAGATGGGCGAGACATCACGGGCAGGTGACGTAATGACCAGGCAGCTATAAAAGCACGTGCGGTGATTTATAGCTGCCTGGTCATTACGTCACCCGCCCGTGACGTCTCGCCCATCTATTGGTCTGATTACACACGAGATTCAGAGCCGGTCACGCTGAAGGGCGTTCCCGAAGCGTCCTACGACGCAGCTCGAGTTCCTGAAGAGGAAACTAATAATGGCTACTGAAGAATCAGCTTTGCATCACAGGAATAAACTACTTTTAAAAATATATCAAATTAGAAAAATGTTACCTTAAATGGTAATAATATTTCACAATATTACTATTTTTGACCAAATAAACTTGAAAAAAAAAGTCTTATTCCAAACTTTTGACTGGCTTGTATATTTTTTATCTCCAAATAACACCAATGAATTTTAATTTCAGCTTTTTGTGATTCCATATTATATATTTTGCAAATGCAACTTGTCAAGTGGCTGAAAAAAACACTAATTAATTTAAGTCTGTAATGTCCAAATGACAAGAGAAATAAAGCAGTTGAGAAATAAAGTCACAATTACAAGAATAAACACACCATTTGTTTAATACATTGCAAGTGTGACGGTGATGACACAACAATAAAACTGCAGTAACACATGTGCTGCGGAGGTGTGTGGGATGAGTGATATTTGTTTTACACTCTGCCAGCAGTCATTCAAGCACTGTTTGTCGATCAATATGACTTTTACTCTTACAGATTCTTATATTTGGCTATCAGGCAGCTGTAGACCTCTCAGTTCAAGGCCCTGCTGGTCTTGTTCATAATCCATGCATTGCATTCTGCTTGATGGAGCTGATGTGAGCTATGCATTGCATTAATGCAGTTTAAGCATAAACGTTCACATAGATCTACATTTATAGCAGACTGTTGTGGTTGTTGTTGTTGTTTTACAATAGGAAGTTTTTACTTTTCTTTAACCTTTACAGCATGTAGCGTGCTGCTTTGTTTGTGAAGGGCTCTAGATGAATGCAGGAATATTCTGTCTGACTTTAGATTAAGATACAAAATATGATGGATTGGAGTGTGCATGAATCAGATAATATGTCTTATTTTAGCTTTATCATTCTTGAATTAGAAACCAGCCTTCTGTTTGTGTGTGTGTGTGTGTGTGTGTGTGTGTGTGTCTGTGTGTCTGTGTGTGTGTGTGTTACCAACAAGTCATTTAGTCAATAAGAGCTTTTAATAGAGTTATGGCAAAGGTGATTTAGCTGTTTTTTTTAAGCACATGGAGGATCAGATGCTGAGACCCTCGAGCCCTTACAAAACAGATTTTTCCCACAGATAGAAGAGACCGGGGTTAGTTATATTTCTATATACTGGAATATAAGTTTAAGTCCATATAGGCACACACCTTAAAGTGTGGAGTACTAAAGCTATTGAACATTTGCACCATTATTTCCCAGGAAAAAATAGATGACCTTTTATAACAATATGCTGAGGTGTCACATTATGTGGGGTAAGCCGTCACTCCATTAAATAGCTTATTAAGGCTTTTCAGCCTAATGTAAACAGTAAACAAATCATGAAAAAGCAAAAATGTGCAAGTTAAGATATACAAATATAAAATTTTGGGCAGCAAAGATTGTGACAACTTGCCCCGACCTCCAACTCTTGGCTTAAGAACACAGTTCACACCTGGTTATATTGTTAAATTTAAATGTATACTAATTTAAGGCAGATGTTTAGAATCAACATACAAATTATGGTTGGCCTTTTGGCACAAAACATCACAGATAGTGAGATATAGCCCTTGTGACAACTAGCCCCGGCCTCTTTAACAACAACATTTTCTAAATAGGACTTTTAATACCATCATGACATATTCTGAACAGAAACAATTCCATGTATAAAGTAAAATTCTTTCCACCTTTTACTAATGAGTTAATTATCAGACACTTCCATTTTAATAAACACTGCACCAGTATTATTCCCAAAACTAAGATAAGTCATTTGGTGCTTATAATCTGCGTATGGACAGTATATAGAAGTCTAAGTTGTATGGAAAATATACAGTACAATATATAATATAATATTTAATGTCATTTTTGTTTACATTTATACATTTTATGTATTTGAGTGTTGACAATGTGGTGACATGTAAGTCAAATATTTCTCATTTAATATATACAAACAATATGTACATCAGGGGCCCTAAGAATTAGAGTCACTCTAGAGTCACATTTTAAAATGTCTGAATGTCATTGAATTAGAAAAAATCATACCAGATGGCATAGTTAAATATATACAGAGAGAGAGAGAGAGAGCGCACAAGCATATTTGTTGGGATTTAAATGATAAAATGATAAAACAATGGAAATAGTGAGAGCTGAGCTTTGCTACATTTAAAATCACCAAAACACCACACTGTAATAATGACTTTTCAAATGCATTAGTCAAAGACTTTTCAAAGATTATTGAAGTATGTTTTACAAGATGATACTAGCCAGTCTTTCACTTCAAAATTTCATGTTTATGTCAATGTGTTTGTCAATTTCTGACTGAAAATTCTAAGTAAATCCTACACAATTTCTTTTCAGTGCAATTGATTAAAAGACATTGGGTGTTTCTTCAACTATAAGCATGTTTGGCCATGTGGCCCTTTTAGCACTTTAGATGATAAACTTCCTTAAAACACTTTTCACACTCTTTTAACTTTTCCATTAACAGTGAACATAGTGTATATGCATCACAGCAGAATTTTGTCAATTTCATATAGCATTTTGTGGTGGAAGTGACATATGAAACATTTCGGAGTAAATTTGTCTGATAGTGTGTGAAAATTGATATATTCATAAATTCAAAAAACAAATACCTGGATATGGTTTGTGGTTATTTTACTGTTTGATAGCTCATTATAATTTTAAAAATGCAATGTTTGTTGTTTTATGTTATTAATTTTTTATGTAGTATTTTACATGCGTATGTGTACATATTTATATTTTATATACATTAAAATGCATTTGAAAAGTAGCAAAAATAAATTTGGATATGATAATTAATGCAAGTCCTATGGAAAAGGCCATAATTAGTTTGCAGATTCCACTTGGTTTGATTTCTGATGACATTCATGCATTTTTATCGTGACTAAAGAGTCGAAATACGAGTCTCTTAGGTGCGCTGCGCAGTCAAGCAAACGATTTTCTTAAAAGCCTTTCTGAAGTCCCTGTTGAAAATCGTGTAAATTATGGGATTCACTGAGCTGTTGCAGTAACCAATCCAAAAGAAGAGCTTGAAAAGCGCCTCGGGCGGCTCGCAGCTCTGCCCGCAGATGGCCTGGAGACTGTAGGTGAAGAAAAAAGGGAACCAGCAGAGGACAAACACCCCCATGACCACAGCCAGAACGAAGGTGAAGCGTTTCTCCCGCATCTGAGCCAGTTTGGTTTTCGACGCCACCGCGAGCTGTTTGCTGCTCTGCTCTTGGTTGGAAACCCAGGAGATCCGGCAGGTCCTCTGCGGGCAGCAGCGCGCGCCGTCAACCCGCTTGCGCTTGGAGAAGCGCGAGCTCTTGGGTTTGTTGTCGGACGTCGCGCTCTCCTCCAAGTCGATATCGTCTAGCTCCTCCTGTCTCTGGTTGCTTTCCGAGCTGTTGCTGCTCGGAGACTCTTTCTCAAACTTATCTTTTCTCACAAAGCACGTCTCGGACTGGGAAGGATGCCTCTCCAACCCGTTCTTGGCCACGAATACTGTGGACGAACGCTGTTTGGCGACGCGGTAGATTTTGCAGTACACTGTGATCATGATGAACCCCGGTGCGAAAAACGACACCAGGCACGAGGAGAGGATGTACCAGGTCTCGTCGTTTATTAAACACTCCTTCTCGTTGTGCTTGGTCATGATGAGAGGTGGGAATGAGATGATGGCTGAAATGACCCACACCACCGCGATCATGCTTTTGATGCGCTTCGGGGTTCTTTTCAAGTTGTAGCTCACCGCTTTGGTGACGGACCAGTACCTATCCAAACTGATGGCGCACAGATGCACGATGGACGACGTGCAGAACAGAACATCCAAAGCCAGGTAAAACGCGCACCAGGTGCTGCCGAAGTACCAGTATCCCATGATCTCGTTGGCGAGGGAGAACGGGATGACTAGCGTGGCCACGAGGATGTCCGCGCACGCGAGCGACACGAGGAAGAGGTTCTGTGGCGCGCGGAGAGCGCGGCTGGTCAGAACCGCCACGATGACCAGAACGTTTCCAACAATGGTGACCAGAATGATGACGGAAACCAAGAGGATGATGAACGCGGCGGCCGTCTCCGTGTACGACCATGCGGTGATGGTGATGTTGGCATCCTCCTTCGTTGCATTGGCCTGAGTTACACCCATTCTGAGTCCATCTTTCTGACAGCCAGGTTAGTTTTTCCAGACTTCACGCGTTAGGTGGTGTCACCAATGCACTGAAACACTTGAGCCGTCAGTGCGCTCTGGTGACGCGATCTTCTCATGCTTGCAACGTAACAGCTGTTCATCGTGCACGCAAATATTCATAAAATCCCAAACTGTTTTGATTCGAACAAATTGACGCGCGAAAAGAATTCCAAAATAGTTGCGCTGCGCGCGTTCTGTCAGGCGCGCTCCGGAGAGGCGCACGCAGCTCTCCACATACGCTCTCCACACCGGACTGAATGTGCAGATGTGTGAGCTTGTGCTGGAGATAATCACATGACGTCATGCTCTAGTCCAACCCATCGCTAAACACACACACACACATAGAGAGTATGATGTGAATTTATATATTTTGCATGACAACTATAATCACAAAAAAATAAATTGCAAAGCATATTCCAAAATGTAACATTCATTTTTACTAGAAATTTAATCCTGCATAAATCCTTAATACTCAACAAAAAAAGAGGACATTTTATGCAGATTTAAAAAAAAAAAATAATAATAATAATAATAATAATAATAATAGAAACCTTATACAGGGTGCCTGCAGGTTTTATGAAGGTAAATTTAAGACTTTTTAAGACCAAGTTAATATATTTTAAGGAATAAATTCAAGGGAATGCAATATGGTCTCTAAATGTAAATATTAAGGGAGCAAAACATGAGTTGTATAAGTAACACTTCGGAGTTTTAAAATACAATCTCTATCACTTTTTGATTCATTAAAAATAAATGCTTAAGGCTTGAATAGCTCTGCTTCCATCCAACCACTAGAATATGGAAATACCTTTTATTGTACCTTCTGATCTCACTGCAAAAAAAGTGATGTTTGTCTTTAGTCATTTTTGTCTTGTTTTCCAGTGCAGATGTCTAAAGATGCTCAAGATATATTTACTTAAGAAGCAAAATGTCACAAGATAAGAAGTCTTGTTTTCTGAGAAATTGATCAAAATGAAGGGAGTTCGTGATTAAAATAAGAACAATCATCTGCCAATGGGCTCAGAAAAATGTAAATTTGTAACCGAAAACAATTTTTCATTCATAAATGACAACCATTTGTTCTTGTTTTAAAAATAAACTCATTTAATTTTGTTCAGTTACCCAGAAAACAAGACTTAATTTCTTCATTTTGCATCTTAAGTAAATGTATCTTGATTTAAGGATGCTGAGATATTTGTGTTGGAAAACAAGACAAAAATACTGAGGAAGATATTCATTTTGCAGTGCATGAAACATTTAACGCCATGACTTTATGACTTTACAGACTTTCTGCTTTGATTTAAGACCAGTTAAAGGCCTTTATTCATGGAAGGGGGAATTAAGATGTTTTAAGTCCTTTTTAAGGAAAATAATGCCCCTTGTCCCCCTAATTATTAAGGATTTTGAATTTGCTTTTGGAAAAAGGAATATAATTATTTTTTTCCTTATTTTCTTTCTAATCAGAATATGTCATTTAATACACAGAGGAAGAGAGAGAGGAATAAACTTTATGTTTGTCAAAGCTTACCGAATTTGACCTTCTTGAAGTTTCTCAGCATCAGTCGTAACCTCATCCTCGGTGCTGTAGTCTTAGATCGTCCCATGTGATTTTATGTTTGTTTTGATTTCTGGGTCATTCTATGTGTAAAAATAACTTGAACAATGAATAGCTGATGCAGCTTTTAATGTGTCAGTATAGACAGCGCAACAAAAATCCAGTGACTAATTTATTTTTGTTTGTTTTTTTCTTTCACTTTCATCATGAGGAAGCCTTGCCCTGTCTCTCTCCCTGAGTTTTCAGATTTAGCAAATTCTGCTAAAAGCCAAATATATATCTGTTTTTTTTAGATTTTAGTTTACGTAATATATTGTTAAAAATATATTAGTTTGTGACTCAACCCAGTTGCATACATTTTTCTTTTATTTAAGTAATGAACTATTATAAGTGGGGGGTATTTGTAGAAATATTAACTTCACATTCTCTTTCTAAGATGCACAGAGTTTCAAAACCTTGAACACAAGACTTGTTATGTCATATTAAAGTGTAAAACGGTCTAATCTCCCAGTCTATTTTATTTTATTTTTTATTTTTTGGTACTTGCGAGTGAGACCTTATGTTCAAATGGTCATTCCATGTTTAACTGACAAACCAAAATCTAATACATTTGAGCAATTTTTTTATTTATTTTTTTGGTAAATTCAAGCTCTAGACATCAGGTTTCATGCTGTGTTAATGCTTTCCAACTGCCTGTGAATACAAATTATATAAAAGAAGCCTGGGCTAAGAACTTTGATGAAGAAGTGTCCGATTAAACCTGGAATGAAAGTCTCAATAGGATTCAAGACTGCTCAATAAATATGAGGCACAGGTTGGTTCAGTTTAATGTAGTTGATAGATTGTATTATTCCAAAACTAAAATATTCAATTATATTTCCCTAGTTTGCGGCAAATGCAAAATAAAGGAGGGTTTCTTGTCACACATGTTTTGTTTTTTTATCCTAAACTGTTTTATTTTTGGACTGTCATGTTTGTTTATTTATTTATTTATTTGTTTGTTTGTTTGTTTTGTTCATTCGTTCATTTGTTTATTTATTTGTTTATTTATTTATTTATTCAGAAGTTTTTCAAAAGGAGGTTAAGCCAGACCATTGTCTTGCAATTATCTGATCTTCTGAGACATTAAACATTCTTCCAAATTCCGTATTAACACATAAAGGCAATATTTATCTGATTGAATGTTTAAAATACAGAAAAGTATTTTAAAACTCACCTTTTCAAACTGGAAAAGGCAAGATTACCCCTATTCTAAATCTAAACACTGACTGCAGGCCTTTAAAATCAGGCCACAGTTCTGCTGAGCTCAGACATTTTGTGACCTCAATAGAAAATATAATTGTATTGGTTATGAATACAACAGCCAGTCTCTGATTAAAACTGAGTATTCAAACAATACATGAGTGTTTTCAATGTACCTTTCAATGCTATTCTATCAAATTATGATGTTCATCTGCATTTTATTTTATTTTCACAATGTGTTAACTCAGTTTTATACTGTTTTTGTTTTTTTATTTGAATATTAATGCTCTCCTTGACATTATGTATAACTCATTATTTTCAGACTTACTCAGAAATAACAAAATCCATGGCATAAACAGACAGAAACAGAGTCTCACACAACCAGTCAAGACTTCTTCAGGTCACATTTCACATAATCAAAAGAAAGCAATAAGAAATTATATTTTGCTTAAAGATAATGAAGCCAATTTTTGACCATAACAATGTTTTGCGTTGACATGTTTTTCATAGTTAAGTACATTTTTAGTGTGCAATACAGTAACAACACATGATTGATTAATTTATTTATTTATTTATTGATTGATTGATTGACTGATTGATTGAAAAGTGAACTGGACAAGTTCTTGTGAGATTCATCCAGATCATCATTTCAGACTCTGACGTCTCATCATACCCAGGTATGATATTTCTGAGCCTTGTCTTTCATTTAGATATTTTCTGCCTACTTTCCAGTGAAAAAATGTAATTATGAAGAAATCTAATTATACAGTGCACAAGGTGAGCCAATTAGTGTGTGTGGTCTGAAGACTCAAATGAACCGGCGGTTGAGTGTCACGACTGAAATCAGGTGGCGCCGTTCTCTTCAAATCTGCTCAAAGCTTTCATAGCTGCCAAAGAGTCTTCTAGATCTTTAAGCATTCCTCTGATTCCCCTGCGGCGTCTAGACACCGACTTAAAGCCCTTAGATGTAAAAGAAATACCTGCTGCACATCCTCCTGGAACAAATGTGCTTTGGAGGGCTTTCATGTGTGGGTGTTGTGAGGCAGACCGCGCCACAGAGGTGGATCTGTTTATGACAGGGAACGACTGCCAGCACTGCCATTATTTGGCAGGGTTCAGCCGAAGAGCAGGACTGACTGCTGGGCGCGTGTGTGTCCGACCAATTTCAGGGTGAGAGAGAGATGTGCGTCTTTCTTTCATTCAGCCAGGAAAACAGCAGGATTGGTTTCCTGCTTCATGGCTTTGATTTGGTAAAATGCCATAAAGAGATTTAGAGAGAGAACTTTGATGACAAACAGAGACAAAAGCAAGCTTATAACTTAACATATTTCATCACCACCATCTGCGGTCTAGGTTTGCATGAATGAGTTGTTTGTTTCCATTTTCCTGTCATTAGGAATAAATTATGTACGTCTTTATTCAGACACCAAGAGTGTGTTGATCTGATTCTGGACCCACAGGTTTGATTATCTGATCAGATAAAAAATGCAACTAAACATATAATCATGTATCGTTGGGTTAAAAAAAAGGCTTTTAGAAATATCACCCATATATTTTATGACTGACATCAAATGCTGTGCATCTTCAAACTCGGTGGTATGGGTTGACGTTAATGGCATTAAATTACTGTATACATCTTCATGAAACAAACTTACAATGTGCTTTAGATAACTATTGCAAACATGCAATTCACATTTCTTTAAAAAAAAAACAAAGCTCATACAATAACACTGTGATGGCCAGTGGAGGTTGCACCTTAAACAGAAGCCAAATTCATTATAGTTATTTTACAAATACAAATTTAATATAGTTATATATAAGTTTTGGATGTGCAAATGAACCATAAACATTTGACATTTTTAAAGAGATGCTGTGAGACGTGGTGCGATAAAAATAATGGTAAATCATCTGCAGTAAACATGCAGTCTTGAAACCTTAATAAACCTTCAATAAGAAATGATTGGTGACTCTGCAGATGCATGTGGTGTCACTGGCTGCGAACATTCAGTTTTTCTAACATACTGTTAATTACAGCATATTCATTGATTGAAAAAGTGTGGAAGCCCATTTCCGCCACAGAATAAAATATAAAAAAGATAATTACACCTTTTTCACAATTCTGATGCTTTTCTTGCTATTCTGAGCCCATGTCTCATATTTCAGACATTTTTCTTGCAATTCTGAAAAAAATTAAGAATTGTAAGATATGAACTCAAACTCAAATTTGCAAGACATAAACTCAAAGTTGCTGGATATATACTCAAAATTCTAAGATGCTAACTCAAAATTGCAAGATATAAACTCAAAATTGTGACAAACTCATAATGAGATATAAACTCACATTTGTAAGATACAAACTCAAAATTACAAGATGAAAGAATTTCAAGATATAAAGTCAGAATTGTGACACA